CAGACACAAAGGTAGAGAGTAGGGTAAGGTGAGTACTGTGGGAGTGGTCGAATATGACAAACAGTCGGGTCATGGTAATTTGAAGTCAGAAGTCAAGTGCCATATGAGTATACGTTGCCCACTCACTTGCCTTCGAATGGCTCTTTTGGGCTCACATTCTTACACAGCAGAGATGGGTTAGCTACGAGATTTTAAATTGTTTCATCTCCTTAGGCTGTGTTCACTCAAGTTATCTTGCATAATAGTAATAATCTACGCATCTTCTATCTCGGTAAGAGCTTCATATGCCCGAAATAATCAAAATCAATTGTCCCTCTTTTTTGCCTTTCGAATTAGACGGCGGTAGTCAATTTGGCGTGACCATACTACTTGTTTTGCCTCCTTGTACAATTTATTTTGTTTTGTTTTTTTTATGAAAATGGACTCTTGTTTCAGTAGACAAAGTATCCTCTAGTTACTTAATGCACATGCATGCCTGCATACTAGTGCAAGCCTCTACTATGAATGGTTTAACGACATTTCACATAAACTATTGTCATTCGCTGACCCTGTCTGAAGTGTTGCCCCTTTTCATTGTGTTCATCAAGCAGTGTACTTTCAACGCCTCTTTCCTCTCTTCACCAACCTCGTCGGTTAAGTCTAGGACTCCTATTTAATGGTTTATCTGTTGGTGGAATAAGTCGGTTTTATTTTTCTCTATTCTAGGACATCTCCCCAATACGCCGTCAACATCCCAGGCGCTCTTTCTCTTTTATCTGCTACATTCTCCTTCTTCTCGCCTTTCAACTTCCCTGGCAATTTGCTCAATTTGCTCTCTTCTCCCAACTCATCTCCCTTATGGCCACTTACGCCCTCGTTGCTATGGTAACGGTCCTCTCCTCCACCCCCCATAAATCGGCAACTTCGTCTACTGACGTAGTGACAGTTATAATGCTCACAAGTCTCTCTCGACGCCTGCTTGAGATTCTCGGGTGTCAGGTTGTTGCCTTAATCATCTCCTGGGTTCTGCAGTTCGGAAATCGTCTTCTCCTCACTTCGACGTATCTCCCGTGTTTGTTTGGCTGTTTTCTTGGTATGGTCAGCTATTCGTAAAGCGATAGCCTAGATGAATAGTCGATTTAATTACGCCTGTCTAACAGTTATATATTGAGGGATTTTCTCTATTTGTTCACATTTAAAATAATCACCATTATGGATGAGGAAGAGGAGATGGCGTACTTTTGAAGTCTTTGCTGAACAATTGGTTTACAGTTTGTTGAATGCTATGTTTTGACGCAAAATTTAACGAAATCAAAATGGAGGACTTCCAATTTGCACGGAGATGTGTAATCAAGGCGGAAGTCGTAAGAGTTCATTAGTGGGAGAGTTGAAGATTTTCCTCCTCTGTGTCACCTCGTTCTTGAGATGGAGAGTTAAGTTCTCACATCTTATTTGCGCCTTTTGGCGCTGTTTAAAGGGCAATTGTGTACCGAATTTCGATCGCAGCCACGTATTTCACAAACACAAACACACACACACACATCTGTTTTGTTTTAGTCGATAGAGGCCATGGTGTTCATGCCTCTTAGATAGGGTCACCGTCGTGGTTACAGAGCCCTTCTTTAATTTGCCAAAAGCTTAGGCCTTTAGTCGTTAAGTTACTTTTCCCATGCGCCTGCCTAATTCTACACCACTTCTAGTAATGCCCAACTTTCCCTTCTGTCTTAAGTATACTGTTAGAAAGCCCTCCTGAATATCCGCATGTTTATTCATGACTAAATACATTTTTTGCCTTCAAGATGACCTTCTAGCCTTTTTGCGCACTCATTTTACTTGATGCGTGTGTGTGGGGCGCCTTCTAACCACCTCCACGCAGTGTTGTAGTAGAGTAGTAGAATTTATTCTTTTTATCCCACTCTACCCCCTCCTCTTGTGTTGTGATTTTTCTAGGTCTACTCATTCATTTGTCCTTACTCGAGCGCCGAAAGTGGACAAACTCAAGGACGTATCGATGTGGTAAGTGCCAAGATAATTGATCTGATTGTAGTACTATCGGTGATTTGCGCAGGTGGATTGGAAGAAAATACGGTTTTTTTCGAATGTACAAATTAGTGCAAACTATCATGATTTTAAAAAGGACATCTGGTGAAATTGTGGCCCCCCCCCCCCCCCAATTAAAACTGGCTTTGGAGTTGTGTGTGTATTCCCTAGCATTTTTTCCAATCATACTTCTCAATGACTTGTTATGAACTAGTTTAGTTGTAGAGGGAATCGTGTGTGTGTGTCTCAAGCTGTGTTAGGTTGAGGTGTCATCATCATCACACATGCTGTCCAACAGCCATCGTGTGTTACTTTTGTATTATTCATTAAGGATTTGACCTAATGTACTATTTGCGTCGATGGAGAGGCTTTTCTTGCACTCGTATAGATATGATCGTGTGGCAAAAGATTGTTATGACCTTGATGTATTGATATGACTGCTTTGATCTCACGAGAACTAAGCTTTCATGTTGAATAATCGATCAATTCCAGCCATTAGAAATTTCGTTGTATTTCGCTTTAAGTTCATGTAGCATTTTAGGAAGACTGAAACAAAATGGTACTGTAGTAGGTAGAAAATGTTTTTTTTGCCATCATAAATGCTGTAGATGCAATGTACTTTCATTCGTAGTAAATTGCTATTGTTTTCTTTCTTTTCAGCTCACTTGATATTCCTCTCTATGAGTTGTCTTCTCATCTCTTTGATCATTCGATTGCTGCTTCAATATGGACTGGCTCTTGAGTTCTCCGATGGAGCTCACATTATTGACTTACTAAAGGTGAAACTTCTTCGCGGTGCACCAACCTTTCACACCCTCCTCTACACTTGCGCTGCCGCTTTCGATTACCTCCCGGTAAGCACAATTAGCACACGCTACTGATGTTTTGCTAGTAGGCATGCTCTATTTAGTTGTGTGGATTTTTGTTTTCAGATTGCCACTTGGGTAAAACTCTTTCAAACTCTCCTGCTACCGGGGGCCATTTTAGCTGCTCTTCTGACTTTCAGACAAGCACTTCTTCCATTCAGGTCTGATTTTTCTAGTTCAAGCAAATCCAAGTCTTCTCAAATCTCAAAATCCAATACCTCAATTACTAAGAAATCAGTAATTACCACCACAGGGAAAGATGACGACAGTGATATCACTGAGGTGGAAGCCGGAGCTTCAGCCATCTCCAGTAAATCTTGGAGTCTCCAAGAGCAAATCCTCTTGGCTCGAATAACTCCCATTCTTATAGCTGATGTAGTGTCCGTTTTTGTCATCATTCAGGTAAGTCTCATTTAGGAAATTGTTTAACTGCTCCTACTGGTTAGTTGGTTAGTTAGTTACCAAGACATTTCTTCCATTTAGCTTTTCGCCTTTGGTCTGCTTGCATCCTTGGTAATGCGACTCAAGCTCTTCTTCACTCCTCAACTCTGTCTCTCCCTAGCGATACTTGCTCAATCGCGTCTCTTCTTCGGTTCCCATAAAGTTCTTCCCCACACTCCCTCCAATTGCCTCAAAAGGAGGACGTTGTCTTGGAAGAAATTGCTTCTACTAAATGCGGCTTTTGTTGGTGCAATTGCTCTCTCCGCACACCACGGAATCCCCAATTTGAGGGTAGGCCTTGTGGTTTTAGCAAATAAGTAGTATATTTTTGCCTACATATTTTGATAGTATGCGTTATGCTATTCTAACAAGCGGACATACGGTTTTTTGGGTTTTCCTTCTTGAATGGTCAAATTAAGGGATATTGAAAGATACATTGAAAAGATTCGCACTGACTAAATTGCTAATGCTACGAATACCGTTTCCATATGTGCCTTGGTACTCTATGCTTTCAGGAAGTTGCATGGTGAAGTAGTTAGAATAGGCTTTTCATGGACTGCAGATGAAATTCCAGTTAAAGG